TCTTGTTTGTGAATTTTAGGTAAACCATACAGACTATGCATGGCCTCCCCTGTGTACAGTGTACAAATACGGTCAATAGCCTCGTCCTGCTCCAAAATTTTCAGGCACTCTATCAAGTTCTTCTTGTAACCACTTCCTGGATCTTTTTTCAGTGGCTCATAAGTGGTTAAGTCTACGGAGTGTCATAACTTTCTCATGATAATCTTTCTGGTTCAAAATCACTGTGCACCTTCTTTTGCCTGCTGGATGATGATGTTCTTGTTCTTGTTGAGAGTAGAGGGTGTCCCTCTCCTCTCTGCTGGTGATGGTTTGGCATCCCTGAAGCAGGCTGAAACTGTGTTTTGAAATTGTTCTGCTTCCAATTCTTGACAGTTTGTTGTTGCAGATGGCTGATTCTGTGATCAGGGGGTCCCCAGACACAGACCTGGCAACCTTGTTGTGTGAATGCCTATAAATTATAGGCATTCACACTATAGTGATTCACTTTTTCTTCCGTACGTTTGTCGGCATCTAACTACTCCCACAGTTTTTGTGCTATTTCAACAAATCATACATCAAAACATTCAGCTGTTTCAGGACATGTCTGCTATGACTTTTGGTATTGGTGCAACTTTAGCTTTTTGAGGTATTTAGCCTTTTTTGGCATATTTGCTCTCATTAAAAATGAATGGAGCTCCTTTTACATCCTTCATAACTTGTGATTCGTTTATAACCTGGTACTACTACTTTCACATTTAGACCTGGTGAAGGTTCGTTCAGCTTCCTTGCACAAAATTTTAAACAAAATTCAGCTAGTTCAGCTAATTTCAGCTGTTTTTTTTCAGCTGTTTTGTGGTCCTTTCAGCTTCATTCGGCTAAAATCAACATTTTTGTGCTTCTTCAAACTTATTTATGCTAATTGATGCTTGTTCTGCTCCTTTAAGCTTATTTCTGGATGTTTCAGCTATTTCTGCTATTTCAGCTAGCATTTAGCTGTTTTCATGCTACTTTCATCTTTATCAGCTAATTCCACATTTTTTTTGCAATCATTTAAACTTTTGTCAGCTTAATTCAGCAAAAACATGTTCCTCCGACATCCTACTAGTAATTGAAGCTTCTTTCTGCTTGTTTTAGCTAATATTAAGCTGTTTTTAGCAAATTCCAGCTTTTCGCAAATAATTTCATATTGTGCTAATGTTTGCCTGTTTCAGCCTTAGTCGGCACACTTAAGCTTCCTCCACTTCCTTTTGGAAATTTAAGCTTCTTTCTGCATTTCTTTAGCTACTATTCAGCTGTTTTGTAGAGAAACTAGGATAACTCTGCCATTTTTAGAGCTATTCAGATGAAACTTGGCAGATTGGTAGATGATAACGATCCCTAATAGATGTTGAATGAAAATAAACAAATTCAGCTAGTTCAGCTAATTTCAGCTGTTTTGTGCTCTTTTCAGCTTTATTCAGCTTACTTCAACATTTTTGTTCTTCTTCTAACTTATCTCTGCTAATTTCAGCTTGTTATGCTCCTTTCAGCTAATTTTTGGAAAAATCTGATATTTCTGCTATTTCAGCTACTATTTAGCTGTTTTATGCTAATTTCAGCTTTTTCAGCTAATTCCACATTTTTTAAAAATCAATCCAACTTTTTTCAGCCTAATTCAGCAAAATCCTGCTCTACCCACTTCCTTCTGGTAATTTAAGCTTCTTTCTGCTTGGTTTAGCTACTATTCAGCTGTTTTTGTACAAATTCCGCCTTTTCCAGATATATTCAGCTTTACTGTGCTTATTTCAGATTTTTGAAATTTCAGATTGTTTCAGATATTTCAGATTATGCTCTTTTGTGCTTATTCCTGCTAATTTCAGCTTTTTTGCTATTTCAGCTACTATTTAGCTGTTTTATGCTAATTTCAGGTTTTCCAGCTAATTCCACTTTTTTTTTTTTAATCAATCCAACTTTTTTCAGCCTAATTCAGCACAGTCATGCACTACCCACTTTGTTCTAGTAACTTTAAGCTTCTTTCTGCTTGGTTTAACTACTATTTAGCTGTTTTTGTCCAATTTCAGCTTTTTCAACTTTATGCGCTCAATTTTCTTCTTTCAGCCTAATTGGGCAAACTTGTTCTTTCTGCTTCCTTCTGCTAATTTAAGTATTTTTTTACCACACCATACCATACCATTTTATTTATAGAGCACTTAAAACAGCGACAAGGCCAACCAAAGTGCTGTACAGACAGAACAACAGATAACACACAAAGCAAAATACAAAATGAAGTAAATCAGAAATATAGACATAAAAACGATGCCGATAATGACGACAAACCAGTGTGGAGCATACAGATTCAAAACACAGATCCTCTGGTGTTGAATGCTACTTTTATGCTTCTTTAGCTACTATTCAGCTGTTTTAAGATAATTATTGAGCAAAAGGCATTCACACGTGCATTTTTGCAGGAAATTAAATTTCTATAGTTTATGCTATTTTACGCTTGTTCTGCTCCTTTCAGCTTATTTCTGGATGTTTCAGCTATTTCTGCTATTTCAGCTAGCATTTAACTGTTTTCATGCTAATTTCATCTTTATCAGCTAATTCCACTTTTTTTTTTTGCAATCATTTAAACTTTTGTCAGCCTAATTCAGCATAAGCATATTCCTCCGACATCCTACTAGTAATTGAAGCTTCTTTCTGCTTGTTTTAGCTACTATTTAGCTGTTTTTAGCAAATTCCAGCTTTTCACAGATAATTTCAACTTTATAGTGCTAATTTCTGCCTGTTTCAGCCTTAGTGGGCACACGTAAGCTTCCTCCACTTCCTTTTGGGAATGTAAGCTTCTTTCTGCATTTCTTTAGCTACTATTCAGCTGTTTTATAGAGAAACTACGATAACTCTGCCATTTTTAAAACTATTCAGCTGAAACTTGGCATATTGGTAGATGATAACGATCCCTAATAGACTTTGAATGAACATCAAAAAATTCAGCTAGTTAAGCTAATTTCAGCTGTTTTGTGCTCTTTTCAGCTAATTTTTGGAAGATTCAGATATTTCTGCTATTTCAGGTACTATTTAGCTGTTTTATGCTAATCCTGAGCATGCATCAGGATGTTTTATGCTAATTTCAGCTTTTTCAGCTGATTGCATTTTTTTAAATCAATCCAACCTTTTTCAGCTTAATTCAGCAAAATCATGCTCTACCCACTTTCTTCTGGTAATTTAAGCTTCGTTCTGCTTGTTTTAGCTACTATTCAACTGTTTTTGTCCAATTTCAGCCTTTCTCAGGTAATTTCAACTTTATTGTGCTTATTTCTGCTTATTTCAGAATTTTGAAATTTCAGATTGTTTCAGATATTTCAGATTATGCTCCTTTGTGCTTATTTCAGATTTTTGAAATTTCAGATCATTTCAGATATTTCAGATTATGCTCCTTTGTGGTTATTTCTGCTAATTTCAGCTTTTTTGCTATTTCAGCTACTATTCAGCTGTTTTTGTCCAATTTCAGCTTTTTTCAGGTAATTTCAACTTTATTGTGCTTATTTCTGCTTATTTCAGATTTTTGAAATTTCAGATCGTTTCAGATATTTCAAATTATGCTCCTTTGTGCTTATTTTTGCTCATTTCAGCTTTTTTGCTATTTCAGCTACTATTTAGCTGTTTTATGCTAATTTCAGGTTTTTCAGCTAATTCCACTTTTTTTTTAATCAATCCAACTTTTTTCAGCCTAATTCAGCAAAATCATGCTCTACCCACTTCCTTCTAGTAACTAGCTTCTTTCTGCTTGTTTTAGCTACTATTCTGTTGTTTTTGTGAAATTACAGCTTTTTTCAACCTTTCTGCGCTCATTTTTCTTCTTTTAGCCTAATTGGGAAACGTGTTGCTCTTTCTGCTTCCTTCTGCTAATTTAAGCTTTTTATGCTTCTTTAGGTACTATTCAGCTGTTTTAAGATAATTATTGAGCAAAAGGCATTCACACATGCATTTTCGCAGGATATGCAATTTCTCTAGTTAGATTTACTGTCCAAAATTATTGAGCATGCATTTGGACTTTACAATAATTCATCTGACGTGCCCTTATCGGGTTAGTCTGTAGCACGAGCTAGCTGCTGCTGCTAATTGCATTTGCTCATAACTGCTGTATAATTTGTAAAAAAAATAAAAAATAAATAATAATTCTGTAATGTGCAAGCTTAAGGTGCTGCTATAAAATTTTGAGATTAGAATGGTTTTAGGTTGACAGAGATCCACTTTTGGCCTTGGCTACTCTTAGATTCAACTAGCTGTGAGCTCATCAATCCAGTCAGAACAAATCTGTTTCTCCAAACCAATGGATTTGGCGTTTCCTCCTACAGTTAAAAAATTTAGTTTGGTATGAATTTTGGAGAGTCTTAAGGCTGATATTTTGACACCTGACACTTAAAACGCAAGCACAGGTGTGCTTTTAATTATACGAAATTTCAAGGTAGGAAACTTTTTAGCAAGCTAACATTAGCACCAAGTTACACACATTTTGTCTTCAGAGTTGTGCAACTTGCACAAAGTGGTGTAAAGTTTATTGTAAATGGGCTAGGATGACTGTAGGTAATTTCTTTTGCCCATATTTTTCACCACCTACAAAGGATTGAACGCCAACGGCTTGTTTTGGCAACATCCTAGCTTACCATTCAGCTATCTGTACTTTTACTGCATTTGTACTAGTCACATTACAACAATACGTAGTTTTAAAGCTCAATGAGCAAAGGTATTTCAGGATTTATATGTTTATTGTTTCCATTACTGTTAACAAAAATCCACACTTAAAACTGTAGAAAAATAAAACACAAATTCCTACAAACCTTCATAATTCCAAATGCAAGGCACGTGAGCAAAATAAAGCATTTCAATTCAATTCAGTTTATTTATACAGCACCAAGTCACAACAGAAGTCATCTCAGGGCACTGAACAGAAAATGTTCCTGGAGTAAGAAAAACCTCAGCAAATGTAATTACACCTTTATTAAAAGCCGACTGATAAGGAAATGAAAGGACGTCCATGATTATGCCTGCAGACCGAGGCAACGTGCCAAACTGAGGACATCGTCTCTGGTCAGATAACATCCACAGAGCTGCCTCAAGCCGGTGAACGACTCCCTCCCATGCAACACCCTCCAGTTGTCTATAAAAACCACCTCGGGGAGAAAACAGAAGGGGAACATTTTTAAATTATGGTGATTCACATTTTGATCATTCTTAGAATTTAGTTCTTCATGAGCTACAAAGAAGTTTAACATGTTTATAGTCAGGATGCTTTTGAATGTAAAGATCTTAGTACATTGCATTCAAGACTGTAATTCTTACTTTGCCTGGATTAAGTTTAATCCAGAGCTCGTTTTCTGGACGCCGTAGTTCTGCTGTCAGCTCTCGATGCGCCTCATACCAGCACTGGACAGTACCATGGGGAATTGTGTTTATCACTGATCGATCATAGTTGTTATATCTGAAGGGGGAAATAAGATCATAAAGCTGAATTCAGAGTTTTGCTCAGATCTGATATTTTTGTATGATTAATTTAAAAAAATAGATTAAACAACAAAACAACTGGACTTTTTTTGTAGCTGAAGACGTGGGGAGTTCCAAGTTTTAAACTGCATGACGTCAGTTATGTTATTAATATTTGGATCAATCGGAGTACCCCTATTTCAATTACAAGTTTGATAATATGACCGTTCAGCCTGAAGTCGCTTTAAAAAACATCTGATATGGGTCTGAATTAGTACCACATATGAAAAAGATCTGGGTCGGATTTGGGAGGGGGAAAAAAGAAAATCTGATTTGTCATGTTCGGACTGTCATAAATAAATCAGGTGGGTTGCATAAAAGCAAAAATAAATCAGATTTGAGCACCTTTAAGCCTGCAGTGTGAGCATAGCCTAAGAATTATGAAACAAAAGTACTTCATATGGTACATTATACATCCATCTACAAACTATTATACAATGGTATGGACAGCCAAAGATCTTGTATTGCATTTGACCATGAAGCTGGGGTGAAAAGTAAATGTGGTATGCTGTGTAGTGATGATGCATATGTGAATGAAGCTCTTGAGCGAATCAGATGTTATAGCATGGATAAGAAAAAAAACTTGTATAACATTTGACCTTGATTTGTGACCTGAGCTGGGGTAATGAAAAGTGTGTGTGATACTCCATCTAGTGCGGGTGCATTTGTATATCATGTTTTGTTAAATGACCTTGAGCAAATTGTAAGTTATGGGTGGGACAAGCAAAAAAAAACAAAAAACTTGTTTTAACTTTGACCTTGAATTGGGACCTTGAACTTGAAGCTGGGATGATGAAAAGTGTGAGACTCTCTGCCTAGTGATGATGTACAGTATATGTGTATGAAATATTTGTCAATTTTTCTTGCGCAGATCAAAAGTTATTGGTAAGACAAGAGAAAGTTTAGGAACATACAGAGACCATACAATCTCATCTTTCACACCGTATCAGGTAGAGCTCGTTGTTCCAGGGGTAAGTTTTAAGCACTGGACCGATGCCCGTCATGTGGTTCCGGTGACCGTCTGTGCTTTCTTGGTACTCGTGCCTGATGGGAACTCGGGCAAGCAGCTCAAAGTTTTCAGGTGACCGTTGCCGCAGTTTCTCTGCGGCGTAGAACCCATCTACAAGTAGTGTCCGTCCACCAGTGCCCTCGTGCTTGAGACAATGGAAAACTTGGATGCTGCAGGAAGAATGAGAAGGTACTGCCATATAAAGGAATATTAATATTAATTTTACAGCTAACACATTTAGAATATGTTAAAAACCCAGTCTGTGTACCGACCCACATGGCTCCTGGAGGTAGGAGGTGTCAGTGTGACGGTCCAGGGCCAGCTGACTGTAGGCAGAGTCTCCTCTGGAAAAATCTGATGTAAAGCACCACATTCTCCCAAATGTAGTCTCCCTTATGACAGGCAATAACACTCGGGTAAGAAAGTGCTATTTAACAAAAACTGCTGCACTAAAATGACAGACTTAAAAAGGCAAAAGGAAGAATTGGTACCTGATGAGACTGACCCTCTGTGTAACCAACTCAGTAGCTTCTACTGTAGTCGGAACGTCGTCGACAAAGGCGATCCCGTACAGTAGGTAGTTCTTGAGAAATTTCTTCAGCTCGCTGTCGCAGCTCATGAACTTGTCCCATTTGGCTGATGGAATGTCTGCATTCTTATAAATGTCTGCGTTCCACAGGATGCGTGGCTGGATAGTGGCCTGCTCCTTTTCTTCATAGCTGTTCTCTGCTAACCAGCCGAGGCTGTACTTTGACACATGACCACCAGGCCCTTTAAACAAAATATGACATCACATTGGACAGATTGCTCTGATGATTTTAACTAAGTGTGCAAATGACTGCAGAAATACCAATGACCACATTTCAGAATGTATTTTTGTGAGTTTTCCTTGAAATAATGCAAACATGTTCAGTATAACTTCTTGTATGTACCATTTTCAATAAAATAGTTTACACTTACCAGTAACACTGTATGCAGACAATAATATCATTTATGGTAACGGTCTGACTTTAGGGACAATTTGAAGCAAAACATTTTTTCTGAAAATAAAACAGAGAAATCTGGTACTTTATTTAAAAAATTTTGATGGTCCAATTAACCAACATGAAGAGGTTTGCCTGTGTTCGGACAATGAAGCTGAGTTTGCCCTTGACGATACTTTTCACTTAATAATGCTTTCTAAATAAATTACGAGGGATGAAAGATGCTGGGAGGCTCCAAGTTGTTTCTTTCTTTTTCTTATATTGAGGAATGAGGGGGTGGAAAGTGGTGAAAGTTTAATTAAAAATGCTGGGAGGGCGGGTTTCGGGTTTGGACCTGTAATTATGGTTAATTCATCGGATCGGGTGGGGTTCAGAGATGACGCCTGTGGGCTGGGGCCGGGTTGGTTCAGATTATTGGTTCGGACTTCCGGTAAGATGGCGCCCGTGTGCATGGCTTGCAATCCACCTCTGCATATGGTGTTCGGATTATTGGTGTTTTTTGCATTTCTCATCTGTGACATCAACTCTCTGCTGGTGTATGACCGACAACAGTTTCTGGATCTTCGTTTTTCTGTCACTGATGTCGCTTATTTGGACCATTATCAGCGTACCTCTGGACCCCCCCCCCCCCCCCCCCCCAGCTGGCGGATGTGCCAGCTTACCTCCGTTGGGCTCCTCACCTCCATGCCCAGAGATATCGCTTCAGACGCCGGGGAAAACGTGCTGGTCAGCTGGTGAAGCTTAAAGCCCTGCGCACTGCATCTTCCTCTTCAGTCGGTGGTCATGGTCTCCATCGCCAGCTTCCCGCGTGCCCGGACCAGGTAACCAACTGGAGTTGTCAGCCGGTGCACCGCTCGGACCGACCTGGAGGGGCTGTTATTGAATATCTGCGGCCATTAGCGCGTGCTAACTCCACCGCTGCTGGCTCCACTTTGGACAGTATCCGGATGTGTTTGGTCAACGCAAGATCTGTTACCAACAAAACTTTTATCCTCAGGGACTACTTTCAAGAGCTCGAGTTAGACTTTCTGTGCATCACAGAGACTTGGATGTCTCCAGGTGAGTCCAGCGCCATGACGGAATTATTGCCACCGAACTGTCTGTACTTTAACGCACCACGGCCATCAGGCCGGCGCGGTGGTGGATTATTAACAATATTCAAATCAACTTTTGACTGTAAACAACTGCCCATCCCAGTTTCCCGTGCCAGCTTTGAGCTGAGCGTCTTTGAACTCGGACATTCACCTCCGACGTTATTTGCACTCGTCTACCGCCCACCTTGATCTAAGGACTTCATAAATGAGTTTTCTGACTTCTTAGCTGAAATCACACTAAAATATGATCATGTTTTCATTATTGGGGACTTTAATTTGCACGTGTGTTGTCCTGAGAAGCCCTTGGTTAAGGACTTTTTAGATTTATTAGACTCATTTAATCTAACGCAGCATGTAAACGGTCCCACCCAAGAGCGTGGACATACACTGGACCTTGTTTTAACTCGTGATGTGACTGTTAGTAATCTTGCTATTGGTGATAATGTTTTTTCAGACCACATGCCAGTCCAGTTTGAGTTCACCCTCCCCCATCTAACTCCTAAATCGTGCATTCCTGCACGTAGCACCCGGGCAATTAACCATTTCACTGCCACACGTTACACAGATGTTTATAACTCTGAAATGATAATTCAGCCCCTGGTGTTTCTCACCACCACTGAGGAACTGACATCCCAGTTCAACTCTGTCTGCTTAAAGACTATGGATCATGTTGCGCCTGTTAAAGCTAGAAAATCAAAACTCTGAGCAGAACCTTGGCTGAGTGATGTCACCAAGGTCGATAGGCAGCAATGTAGGAGGGCGGAGCGCAAGTGGAGGAAAGACAGGCTGCAGGTCTCTTTTCAAATACTTAAAGAGAGTTGGCGCTGTTATCAGAAAACAGTGAAAGCTGCTAAATCCAAATTCTTCTCTGATATAATTACCTCAAACTCTCACAACCCACGTGTCCACTTCTCCACCCTAAACTCTGTTCTCCACCTCACTGAACCATCACCTCTGGAAGCCTCGACTGAGCTGTGTGATCATTTCCTACATTTCTTTTTGGAAAAAATTGCGACCACCAGGGCTCTCATTTCCCCTCCAACTCATGACCCATCCATCCCACAGCAATCTGTAGCTCCATTTCACCATTTTGAACCCATCACTCTATCTTCTCTAGAGCAGATCATATGCAGCTTGAAACCTTCTGGTTCCCCCTTTGATGTGGTCCCCCCTCGACTACTAAAGGAGGTTTTTCCCACTCTAGGTCCGTCCATTCTTGATATAGTAAACAGTAGTTTATCCACTGGCGTGGTGCCAAAATCCTTTAAACATGCTGCTGTCCAGCTTCTCCTGAAAAAACCAAACCTTGACCCCTCAGTCGTGTCCAACTTCCAGCCTGTCTCCAAACTCCCATTTGTTTCTAAACTACTGGAGAAAATAGTAGAGTCCCAGTTGAAGTGCTTCCTGGAAGGTCACACCATCTTAGAGCTATTCCAATCTGGCGTTAAACCTCTTCACAGCACTGAAACTGCCCTGCTGAAGGTTTTTAATGACATCTTCAGATCCACAGATACTGGTGATTCTGTGCTGCTTGTCCTGTTGGACCTCACGGCCGCCTTTGACACCATCGACCATGAGATCCTCAGTGCTAGGTTAGAGCAGTGGGTGGGTGTCACAGGATCAGCCCTCAATTGGTTCAGATCTTACCTCACTGACAGATCCTTTTGTGTCTCCAGCAAGGATTTTAGTTCCGCAGAGGCAGAGCTTAAATGGGAGGTTCCGCAGAGGTCCATCCTGGGTCCCCTCCTATTCTCTTTATACCTGCTGCCGCTTGGTGCTATTTTCCGGAAACACAACATGCCCTTCCACTTCTATGCCAATGACTGTCAAATTTACTTCCCCCTAAGACACAATGGTACATGCTCAATTCAACCGCTGCTCGACTGCCTGGCTGACATCAGGGACTGGATGGCTTTAAACTTCTTAAGTTTCAATGAAAAGAAGTCTGAAGTCATGTTGTTCCCTCCAACGACACGATCACAAACCACTGCATCGACCTCTCCGCTCTAACCCTGTCAGAAAAACAAAGAGTCACTAATCTGGGAGTGATAATGGACCCTTCCCTGAAACTTAACAATCGTAAACATGATTGTTAAATCATGTTTCTTCCAACTGAGGCGGCTGTCTAAACTGAAGCCCATATTGACCAAAAATAACCTGGAGACAATAATACATGCATTCATTACATCTAGGCTTGATTACTGCAATTCGTTCCTGTTTGGTATCAGTCAGACCTCCATTGCACGACTACAACTGGTCCAGAATGCAGCAGCCCGATTTTTAACCAGTACAGGCAAAAGAGAGCACATTACACCAGTTTTGGCCTCCCTGCACTGGTTACCGGTTCACTTTCGAATCCAGTTCAAAATACTGATGTATGTCTACAAATCACTGAAGAGTTCCCACCCACCCCACCCCCACATCTCTGATCTGCTACAACCGTATGTCCCACCACGTTCCCTGAGGTCAGCGGACCAGTTGCTCCTCACAGTTCCAGGAACTCGTCTTAAGTGCAGAGGTGACAGGGCCTTCTCTGTAGCAGGACCAAGACTCTGGAACGAGTTACCTCTGCTTGTCAGACAGGCCCCCTCCCTCTCGGTTTTCAAGTCCCGTTTAAAAACTCACTACTATTCAGTAGCTTTCAACACCAGATGATCTGTGTTTTGAACCTGCATGCTACACACTGGTTAGTCGTCATTATCTGCATCGTTTTTATGTCTATATTCTGATTTACCTAATTTTGTATATTGCTTTGTGTGTTACCTATTGTTTTGTCTGTACAGCACTTTGGTTGGCCTTGTCGCTGTTTTAAGTGCTTTATAAATAAAGTGGTATGGTATGGTATGGTATTATTTGACCCGAGTGCAACTCTATTTGGCGCCGCCTACACTAACTGACTTTTTTGTTTGTTTTTCAATAGATGCCCTGGTGCGTAATAGTCACATGACCCATTTCAGTTACTCTAGTGGGAAAGACGCAGCCTCTCAGAGACTCCATTTTAATTTGTCCAAAGTGGACTTCAAACTAAACACCAGTTTTTAAATTGTATTGATAGGCCAAGTAAAACCAGAGTTATTATAAATAATCCAAGCCACATCTTTTTCTGAAAATTGTTGTCATATCTGAAGCGCGTTGGAGCGAGAGGCTGCAGCAAAGACTGGCAGTATCAGGGACAAAACACCCCCATCACTCTCCACTTTCACCTCCCACCCCCGAACCGATAAATAACCTCCCTCCTCCTTTCAGCCGGAAGCTCGAAGGTATTTCTCAAGTGCCAAAAAATCTACGAGAAGAAGAAAAAGACGCGGAAGTTGAATAGAGTTCTGCGCGATAAAGTCACAGTGAGAACGAGAGTGAGTCATGAGGTTTGAGAGATTTGAGATATTTAGCATGTTTGGGTTTTATAGTTAGGGTGTAGTTTAGCGAGTTTAGTATTTAGTTTAGTTGGTTTTAGTGTGCTTGAGTCAAAACGAGATGATATTTGAACGTGAGGTTGGCAGACATGCAGACTCAGAGGAAGACGGAACCATTGAGTCCAAACCTCTCAGACAGAGGAGAGGATCATGAAGGGGAAAAAAACATCTGAGTCAGACATTGAGGACTTTGTTGATGAAGACAGTGACCATGATTTGTTTTAGAAGAGGAAGAGAGCACCCAGCCCCCCTAGGAGGTCTGACTCTGCTCAGAGGAGGGG